TTAAATAATTTTCTATTTAACTTTGCTTGTGAATACATAGTCTGAAAATGACCAAATATTGATTGAAACCCAAATGTGAGGAAACTGGTAATGAGAAAAATTATTATTCTGAGTCATGGTATTTATTCCTTCATTTGGAGAAAATTATTTGAGAAAAAATGTGCTAGTAAATATTTTCTGGACCACTGTCAGATAACTATTTTGAATGTAAGATAGCATTTTGTGATATTTTTTGAAAAATTTAATAGAATGCCATTCTTAAATATAAAATAAATATTCCTCTGTGTTTTAGATAAATAATAAATTTTACTTGTGAATGTACATGTGATGTTTTTATCTTTGGAAGAAAGATTTTTCTAAACATCTCTAACTTTCCTGCTTTCAAGACACATATCTCAAATTAAATTGGTTTAGCTTAGCATTATCTTAAATGAAAATTATTTCAATGCTGTATCTAATTAATTGTAACTGTTTAAAATATTACATTCCTAGAAGCTTCTTATATGAAAATATTTATATTCCTAAAAATTCTCTTTCAAAAAAGATAGTTTTACTACCAGATCTTAAGCAGTTTTAGAATAGTTGATTATTTTCACAAATATTTACCTGGATGTATAGTTAATGCATGACCAAAAGAGTAAGTTATTCATTATAGTTAAAATTTTAATCTTTTCAATGGCTGTCTGTATGTATACAAGTAAAACAGACTAAATGTGTATGCATGTGTACATGAACACATGATTAACATAGTACGTTTGCAAGTAAGGTACAGGTATTTTATATAACTCTATGAAAATTCTGCATATTCTCAAGAACATTTATTTATAATTTTAGCAATCTGTTTCCTCAGATATTATGGTTGGTTTTTAAATTAGTTCTATTTTTTGTTACTGTTTAGACAAGGGTTTGCAGTGTAACACTGCTGCATTTTGAAACTATGCCTTCCCTTGTCTTCTTTTTCATAGAGTTTTCTTTGACGTGGTTTTGAAGTTGCCAGTGATCACTATATTTTTGCTACAATTTGGACGCTAGGAGTATTTTTTTTCATACAAGCATAATTTTCCTTAGGTGAGCACACTTGCTGTTTTTTGAAGCAAGTGCTAATTTGTCTTGTAGACCATGGCTTTTGGCCAATTTTGACCAATCTATATTTGAGCTATGAGCATTTGGTCACAAAATTATACTAACCCAAGGACTGGTTTTGAAAGATTTTTCCAGACTGAATACATAAAATTTTTATTAATTTAGTTTTTATTATTCATATAAATATGCTTTCATTTTATAACTCTGAAATTTAAAGCTTTTACTTCTATCTGATGCATTATGTATTATGTTATATATAAACCAAATATGTATTCATCATTTTACGATATATAAATTTTTGTTGTTGCATTTTCTTATTTTACCATTATTATTCCTATGTCTTTTTTTTTTTTCCAGACTCCAAATTTCTTTGGTTTAAGGACCTACCATTTCTTTTTCATTTTTGTATCTGCAGACTTGACTTCAGTTGAGGACATACAGCAGATATTACATAAGTTGAATCAATGACAGGATATTTATGTATGACTTTAAATTACTATTAAAATGTTTCAGATAATTTCTAGTGGGAAGAATCACACATTGTTATATCTAAATAAACATATTCATTTAGTTTGCTCTAGGCTTCCTACACAACTCAGCTCAGTTATTCACACACTGGCAGTGTAGTATCTTCCTGCTACCTGGCTCTGCTCCCCTGGGATCCATATTGCCCTTGGTGTCAGACTGAAAATCAATTTTAGTGGTCTATGCTTGTATAAAGCCATTAAATTATTAACAAAAAACAACATTAAGAAGATGCAAATATGAATGTTAATTGGGTGAACGGCACATGGTTAACTTCAGCTGAAAAAGTATTGATTGTAAACAATCTATGTTAAAGTATTTTCCCTTTTGCTAATAATAGAAATTGTAACTATACTCAGACATTTATGGTAGGATAAGAATATGTCATTGGATAAAAATAATATCTGTTTTTTCTTTGATAATTTTCCACCTGAAGTTGATAAAAACAAGGTGAACCCTGAAATAACATATCAAATGCCTTATGTATTGAAGTTTCAATAGCACTTTGAGTGGTTATGAACTCATGTTTTCCTATACATTTTCTCATATATATTTGGATTTACAAATTACAGTGGAAAATTTTAACAGAGTGACATTTAGCCCTGAAAACTACTGGAAAAGAAATTCGTACTATTGATTTCGTAAACCTTTTGTCTGTAGACTAACTCTGGTGTGGTAATCAGGTTATCAAAACATTGAGGAGCAGCTGTAACAAGCAAGGCCAAATAGACTCCATCTAGTGGTTACACGGGCCTGGTGCAGCCTAATTGGATTAAAAATTATTTTCAGTGCAGTGGTTGACAACTCAGATGCCTCCAGAAGTGGGTGGATGGGAGAAAAATCAGTTGTTGGTATATATCACGCTTTCTATATGGTTAGGAAACTATGGTGTAAGCACATAACATAAAATAAACAATATTGTAAAATAATATATTTTAAACTCAGAATTTAAAAAAGGCAAGATGTATGATAAATGTCCCTGTGAACAGTGAGTTATATGCCAAACCACTAGGCTGATCATCTGGTTCAATTGATTGCTGTTATTCAAGAACACAGGGCTGGTGCTGCTAGACTTAGAATTTTTCTAGAGAAACTGGAGATCTAGATTTGTTTATGAAACCTACTAAATTTAATATGTTGGTTCATTTTCTTAAAATGTGATATGGCCCCATCTTAAATACATCCTGGTCACATTTGGCCATGGCTTACCATTTTGAGATCTTTGTTTCAAACAAGGTTTTGAAATTTTAAATCTCATTTCTTTCAGAGGACAGAAAAGTTGTGGGCATCTTCTACCAACACTGTAAAGTGAGACTGGAGTATTAAGTTACTGAATCATTGTTAGTTTGGACCTTGGTTGAATGTCATTTTTATTCAACAGCTGGCACAATTCAGGATGCTGAAACCACAGTTTTGGATAAGGCTCACTCTTTTCCTTGGTCTTTCTCAGTGTGGTGCCTTAGATGAAGTGCCCAGTAATGTGATCATGGACAGTGGTCAATTTCTGCAGGGGTTGCCTGCTGAGATATTGGGATATAACTTCCCAGTTTTTGTCATGTTTTTTTTGAGCTCCATATATAATTCAAGTTTATGATTTTTATTACTTTGGTATATCTTTCTCATAACCTGCTAGCAGCTTGAAGTTCCTAAAACACAACACTCAATTATAGAGTTTACAACACAAAGTAGAATAAAACACTGAAAGTTTTTTTTTTTTTAACTTTCTTTCACCAGAGCCCTTAACCTTGACCACACCTTTCCCCATCTATACAGAGGAAGTGAATAAAGAGAAAAGAGAAAAATGGCCAGGATTCAGAATTCTTTAAACTTGTTCAGAAAGTAGGAGATACTAAAATGAAAGGAACCACAAATAGCTCTGTGGCCTAATTTCTTCTCCCAAGCCTCCTCTGTTCATGGTGTTCGACAGTCACATTCAAAGGCAAGCTATGGTCCTTCCAATTTCCCACCATGACTGTACAGGCCCTTCAACCCCCTGATCTGATTGACAACTGTCTTCTCACTTGTTTCTTCTCCAGGCCCCTGGTCTCCTAGCTGTTCCTTGATCACATCACATATGATCTCCTTTACCTCTTACACGTTTGTACTGCACTGTTCTCTCTGCCTAAAACAGCACTTTCATATACACATTTTTTCAGTCTCCTACATATCTTACTAAACTGTTTCTTTCTTAATTGCCTTTCAGTGAGGTTCCATTGAGCATTACATCCGCCGCTTCCCCTGCACTCCAAATCCTCTTTGCTCTACCTCCTTCCACCATATTGATTGAAGATATTTTTACTATAATACGTAATTTTCTTATTTATTATGTTTATTGCTTATTATAAGTATTTCCTCTGCTAAAGCGTATGTAGCTGGAAGCTAGAGATTATCTTGTCTTGTTTACTCATCTGAAGTATCTAAAAACAGTGCCTGACATATAATAGATACTTAATTTTTTTTTTAAGTAAAAGAATGTTGAACTACTTATTCATTAAGGTCTGGGTGTACTTCCCATAGCCCGTTAGTTATAATTGCCCATGGGAGGGATTCTTGCAATAAATTATATCGTGTGGGCTTATGATCAGTTTTGTTTTTATTGCTAGAAAGTACAAAAATATGTTACAGGGAAGAGACATTTGTATGTTGAGGTCTCAGAAACAAAACAGAACTGTGTATGTTTTATCCAAATACAGAGGGAAATCACTTCGTATAAGTAATTAGTGTAAAAAAAAAAAGGATAAAAAATTGGCTTGAGGCAGTAGAAAGAGCAAAGACTATGAGGTCAGATGACCTGTTGATCATGTCCTGTTACAGCATTTGCTAGTTCTGTGACCTTGTTTAGCTATTTATTAGCTTTGAGCCTTAGTTACCTTTTCTTTAAAATGTGAATATAGGAGAATTTGTCTTATTTGCCCTTATTAGTGCTTAATGATAGGTTTTCTTTATTAATATATACTTGTTTCCTTTAACAGTTACCCAACATCTATCTAAATTGCAATTATTTTGTTTTCTGTTCACCTGACAGATTCACCTTTTGCAATATATATAGGCTCTACAGGGGCAAGTCTGTGTCTTTCTTTTCTCAGTGTTGTGCTCCCAGCTCTTGCATACCATGTCTGGCATATAATAGTTGCTCAGTAAAAATGTTGTGACATGAAGGGTTAAGCAATATGAAGTCATCAAGTTTGCATGAAATATGAAATAATAATAGTAGGTTGGTTTATAATCAATAATTATAACTGTCTGTTTTACTGTCATCGTCGTGTACATGTTACTCAGGCTTCTTTAATCTACTACCAAGAGGGTGATCCTCTTCTAGTATTACTGCCTTAATTTAGAAGTTTAGTGAAATAATACAAAAACACTTCACTGATCTAATGGTTTTGATATAGGTCTCCAAGCTTGCTGGTGTCTTTGTCAAGCATGGCATCAAGAAGGGTGACACTGTGGTTATCTACATGCCCATGATCCCACAGGCGATGTATACCATGCTGGCATGTGCAAGGATAGGTGCCATCCACAGTCTCATATTTGGGGGATTTGCTTCTAAAGAACTAAGTAGTCGCATTGATCATGTAAAGGTAAGTGCTTTATGTTGGGAAATGGAGCTGTAGCTACCTATGATTTAGTCATATTTATCTGTGGATAAATCATCTGAGAATGATCTATACTTGTTAGATCCTCCCTTCAAATGGGATGGTTGATAGATACTTTTTCTAGAAATCATTATATTAAATATCAAAAAGACACTGACATGCATATGTTTATTGCAGCTTAATTTACAATTTCAAAGATACGGAATCAACCTAAGTGACCATCAGCTGAAGAATGGATAAAGAAAATGTGATATATATATATACGTATATACGTATATATATATGTGTATATATATGTATATACGTATATATATGTGTATGTATATATGTATATATGTATATATGTATATATATATGTATATATGTATATATGTATATATATGTATATATGCATATATATGTATATATATACATATATATATAGTCTGTTTGAAATATTCAGGTATTTAAAACAGCACAGTGTCTGACATAGTACTCATTTAAAAATTTTTAACTATTATTAATCTATGAATTTAGTGCTGGAGTTAGAAAAATTTTAACTGTAAATTGACCAGACAGTACATATTTTAGGCAGTATGAATGACGTGATCTCTATTGCACCTACTCAGCTTTGCTGTTATATGTGGCACAGAAGCAGCCTTAGACAACACATACATGATAGGTGTATATTTTTCAATAATATTTCACAGAAATAGGCTGTGTGCTGGGCTTGGCTCACAACCACACATACATGATAGGTGTATATTTTTCGATAATATTTCACAGAAACAGGCTGTGTGCTGAGTTTGGCTCACAACCACACATACATGATAGGTGTATATTTTTCAATAATATTTCACAGAAACAGGCTGTGTGCTGGGTTTGGCTCACAAACACAGTTTGCAGACCTCTGATTTAGACGAAGGAGCATTTTCTTTCAGTCAGGGCAACCAAAGAAGCCTTCCTAAAGGAGGTGAGATTTGAGTTAGATCTTGGCTAAGATTGAGCTAGTGGAAGAGAATGACAGAGTAGGATCCAAAAAGGCAAAGAAAGATTCTGACTCAAGCAGGAGACACAGGAGATGGTAAAATTAATTTGGAAGGACAGTAATGTAGACTAATGTGACTAAAAGGTGAGAGAAGGTGAGCTTGCAAAGGCAGATTTTGTCTGACCTGGATTCTGTTAACCAGTAGAGGTTTTTGAACAGGTGAGTGTCATGTTTTAAGCAATGTTAAGAGGAGGCATGTATTGCACTATGTGAGTAGGAGTGAAGCTGGAAGCTGAAATAAAAACCATTGATAGGTGTTTTGGGCAATATGAAGGGGAAAAAGGACTCTGGGAGGAAGGTCCTTATCGGAGTAAGAGATGGTTGACCTTTAGAGTTTTACAAGCTCAAGATGAGACATTCTTAATGGGAAGAGAGCTAATGTATACTGAATGCCCCTGAGTACTAGCTATAGAGTGAGGCTTTGCATATCTCAGTTTATCTTATAATAGTTTAGTTATTAAAATAAGAAAGCTGATTTTTGGACAAACCATCTGGGTCCTTTCTTTTTTTTTTTTTCTTTTTAAACATGTTGCATTAGTGCTTATGAAGAAAATCTAGGGAAAAAATATCAGTCACTGATCTGCAAATAAAACTTTTTAAAATTGTGGTAAGTTACAGGGGACTTACAATACATAAAATGTTAGCAACCGTCAGCCTGGGACAGCACGTCTGCCGGGGGTCTCTCGACCTGCAAGAGGGTCCCAATACCTGGAAGAGAGAGTGCGCTTGAGTGGGGATCTAGAGGACTGATAGGCAGTAAATTTTATTTTTCAAAGGGCAGGAATAAATACACTTTCTTCTGCTCTGGTTTACGTCATAGCAAGAGGAAATGCAAATGTATACCTTACATGGTCTATACAATAGAGAAGTCAGATACACAATGGTTGCAAGAGGAAATGCAAATGTATACCTTACATGGCCTATACAATAGAGAAGTCAGATACACAATCAGTGGTTGTAAAAAGTAACAGAATTTCCTGTGATCACAAAGCTTGTTTACATCCAGACATTATTCCTCCTGGCTGCAGGTATCTCTGGTTTGATCTTGTTTTAGAACTGAGATGTGAAAAGGTTTTCCTCATCAGAATATCTTTTAACTGAATTCTCTTTGTCTGCTCCTGACTCAACTTAACTCAACTTCCCCATTCAGGAGTCTCTGAGTCAGAAATCAAAGCCATCCCTTATGGTGGCATTTGCTTTGCAAATATCCCGACAGTTAAACCATTATCTAGAGTACAAGGCAGTCAGGTAAGTAAAGAAAAGGTTAAAACTTATTCTTAGAAAGAGTCATAAAAAAGTTAAAAGCAGGAACGGGTTGCTGGCAGGGGGTCACTCGGTCTAGCAGCACTGCATAGTTTTAAGGCCCAAATGATATCATGGTTGATATTAGAAACTGATCATTCATCTTTAAGTTCCTTTTTCCGGATAGCTCGACTGCCTGCAATAGGAAACTGTTTGGGATCAAACTCACCGTATAGTGAGACTCACGCCTTTTGGGGGTCTCACACGGGAATGTTCCCCACAGTAAAATAAATAAGGATTTACTAAACTTTTGGTATACCACTTAAGGAATTTTCATTGCAAACACACACGCACACACATACATACACACGCCTAAGACTCTTTTGTTAAGGTGTTTATGCAATAAATGCTTTTATGCACAAGGCAATTTGTCAGGGCATGTGTAAAGAGAGAAGAGGGAGATAGAGATGTATATCTGAGATAGTGGGATAAAATTAGTGTGTAGTTGAATTAGGAATGATTTTGATGTCATGGTCTTCAAATAAATAGGCTAAAGAAAAAGGTTTAATGGAAGATGGAAAAGTGGTATTCTAACAAGTCAATCTAGACTCAATAAAATCTCCAATGTGAAAGGAATTATTTTTTCAGAGGAAGAGTCTAATTTTGACTTTATTAAATTCTAGCTTTGATATATTTTATATATGCTCCTAATTTGATATGTAGCTTGCTTTTATTCAGAATTCTAATTTTAGGGAATGCTATCTGGAGCTATTTTTGTGAGTATTACAGATATTAAAATGTGAATTACATTCAGATGTCTGACCTTTAAAAATATAATGAAAGGAAACATACTTTTTGCTTTCCCCCCCCCACCCCTTTTTGTTTTAAGACAGCTTGATACGATGGAAAGAGGTTCTGTACCAAACAGAACTGGCCGCCTTTCTGCCTCCACCACTTGTAACCTGGGGCAAGCTATGTAATTGCACTGAGCCTCAGTTCCATGAATATTAAATTATGTTCAAAAAGGTGACAGTACTACATATGCATATATTTAGTACCATATAAACCTTTCCTAGATGAAAGGTATTATAACTAGAAATCAGAATTCAGGAATACCTGCAATACCTTGGGTCGATTATCTGCCTTCTGAATAATTTATTATATATCTCTTTTGCTTTGGATCTCTTGGTGAAGAAACAATATACTTAAAAATATGAGGACTTCTTTTTCTGCAAATTAATGAGTTCTACAAATGTTTACTGAAAGCTCATGACATGCCAAGCACTGTGCTAGGTATAAGAAACACAAAAGTAAATGGCATCCGAACTTGGAGTAAGCTCTGAATAAACACTGACTATAGTCAAACATTTGAGGCATGTCCAGAATATACTGAAGAAGAGGATTAACACAAGCTGTGGTTCCCTCCAGAAATACATTTTGGCTACACCTGTGTTTGTCCTAAAGAATGACTTATCAAGTTAGCAAGTTGTCAGGTAAATAGTATAAAGTGTGTCTTTTTTTTTTGAGACAGAGTCTCACACTGTGGTCTGGCGCCTGGTCTGGAGTGCAGTGGCGCCATCTTGTCTCACTGCAACCTCCGCCTCCCAGGTTCAAGCATTTCTCCTGCCTCAGCCTCCCAAGTAGCTGGGATTACAGGCGCCCACCACCATGCCCAACTAATTTTTTGTATTTTTAGTAGAGACAGGGTTTCACTATGTTGGCCAGGCTGGTTTCAAGCTCTTGACCTTGTTAACTGCCTGCCTCTGCCTCCCAGAGTGCTGGGATTATAGGCATGAGCCACCATGCCCAGCCTAAAGTGCATCTTAAGGACAGGGGCAGGTCTAGGTTTTGTGGAGTTTGGAACTTAAGTCATTTGGGGACCTTTCTAAGAAAATAATATCTAATATTTGGGGAATGTGAGTATATATTAAGAATGAGAAAAAAATACAAATTATTGGAGATTTGGGTCTTTTTTTGCTGCAGTCTCTTTACACATTTAGAACAGAAATATGTAGAAAATCTATGAAATGCCACTACAACCTCAGCAGCAGCCAGCTCTTACTGGGACTTCTTAAGGGGCTTCAAGATTTACATTTTACTAGTTCATGGCAAATCTACCTGGCTTAATGAATTATTTGGAAGGAACTTATATACTTCATACCTATGAGTCAGAAACATCATTGAGTATGCAGTTTTGAACAGGTAAGTGAGATTTATGTGAAAGCGGTTAAGTCTATAACAATTAAAAAGGGTTTGTTGGTTTACAGACCATTCAGTAGAAAATGGAATTATTCAAATGTTTCTTTAGAAATGTTAAATTGCCAGTCTGCAGCTAAAATATTGTGATTACCTTAATTAACATTGTTAAAGCTTTCTCTCCATTATTCTTTTTTAATTGTAGCCCAAGGTGGTTGTTACAGCATCATTTGGCATTGAACCTGGAAGGAGGGTAGAGTACATACCACTTATAGAAGAAGCGTTAAAAATAGGACAACACAAACCAGACAAAATTCTCATTTATAATCGTCCAAATATGGTAATCCGAATATTGAATTTGATTCTTGCTTATGGTAATATGCTAAGGATGATTTTAGTTTTTACCATTTAAAGGAGACACTTGATTTATAAGCTATTTAGTATACTGCTGAATATCATTGTTATTTCTAGAAAAAAATATAAAGAAAACCTACTGACTTCATGAAAATCTAGCTTAAAACCAAAAGACTAAAGCACAGAAACATGTGTGAGATTAATGAATTGGGTTATATGTATACTGCTATTGTATTTTTATTAGCTCAGATTATAATAATTATGATGTCAAGAATTGACTGTTTACTGTGTGATTTTTAAGATACTCTACTAATTAATATATTTTCAATTTTTTTTGCTAACTCTATTGACTCCATGGTAATATTTTTTCCTATTTTAATAAAAGAGGACTCCAATGAACATGGAGATAAAGTAACATGCCCAGTTTGAAAGTGCTAGAGTCAAGATTTGAATGCATGCACTATGACCATATGCTTAACCCCTCAGCTGTCCTGACTCTTGGAGAGGTGTGATTAATTTGCATGAAAATATCTTCTTAAAATTTAGAAAAGTATTTAGGCCAGAAATAGAACTATGCTCAGTAAAACAAGACATGAATATTCTAAGTGAATAAATTATTCTGTGATCCATGAAGGAAGGGAAAACAGTATAATATATCAATGAATACAATTTACAGTTACTTTTCCTATAACTTTGACCTGATGATCACCTTACTTCTTCACTCAGGCAAATCTCTAGCTATTTATGATGAGACCAACTTGGGTTTCTAGCAGATTAATTTTTTTTTTTGCAGAAGTGAAATTGCAAGAGTGCAAAGAATCATGTGCAATTTGTAGAACTCGAGACGTTTTCTTTGAAAATACTTAAATGACAAGATCTGAGACAGATTGTTAAAAATATGTCATTTTGATTACCACCTAGCAATTCCCATTACCACATTAAATTCCTGTGTAGAGTTTTAGTAGTCTGTGGTTCATGAACTATTGCACTTAATGATTTTAATGTTCTTATGATCTTGAAGAAGAATTTTAAGTTTCCTTTCAGATGACCACAAGCATTTTTTTTTTTTTTTTTTAAAGCTGCTTTGCTGTTTAAATCAGGAAATGCAAAATCAGCAATATAGAAGGCTTTGGGTAAAAAAAGTTTAGAGGAATGGCAGGAACACACACATAATGTATATATATGCGTATATGTGTGCTATTCACATTCATATGTAGTTTTTACAGAAATATGTACCAAGTTCTAGGCCCAGTGCTAAGTAATTCCAAATACTTTTTTAGAATTTAATTCTAACAAACCAATGAAACAGATGCTGTTACTCCCCTTATTTTACAGATAAAGAAACTGAGTAATGGAGAGGGTATAGCCCAAAGTCATGGCTAATAAGTGGCAGAGCCAGGATTTAAACTCCAGTTTAATGACCGTAACCAACAAGATGTATGCTGTGTCTTTCACTATAAACATGTTGGATATGGATATCAATGTTCCTTATTCAGATTTTTCTAACGCAAGTTAATGCAAGTCTCTTCTCTTTCTTTTTAATAGAGACAAACTGTCTGCTACCCCCAATAACTAGCTTGCTTTCTCTGCTTCTCTCTTTTTCTTCAGATTCTTTCCTCTATTTTGATATAGGTGAGGGCTATAGAGGTCTCTTGTTCTGTTAGACCTGCTGTTTAGGCAGTAATTAAGCCCAGTGGACTGGCTTTGCTATGAATTTAGAGAGACAAAAATTTTGAGGCTCAGTGGTGTGTCTTACTAACCAGGATTGCATTTTTGTAAGAGGAGATAAAAACTTGGCTGCCACACCTAAGCCTCAGGCAAGCAAAGATGGAATCAAAGGGTAGAGCATCAGTCACTCCTGGACTCTCCCAATACTGCCTTTTAAGAATTACAACAACTGGGAGAGATATATCTATAGAAGTAAATGCATATATATGAAAATATTTTTTTTCTTTCTTCATTTGTCAGATCTCCTTTGTCCATACCTCTGTTTCTTACCCTGAAGAGTAACCAATTATTGAATTCCTAATTTCATTAGAGGCCTATAAAGTTATCAACCTGTAATTATTTTTGTGATCACTCAAACTATGTTTTTATTTTGCAGCGTGATGATTTTTATAGATCTCTGTGATGTCAAAAGCTTGGTAATTTGCAAATTTTTAGTTGCTTTTATTCATTGTATAAAAAGAAATGTAAACATATGATTTGATCACAGTCAACTATTTTATTTATTTAAATGGCAGAGCCAGTACCTATCAGAGTGAGGCTGGATAAATCAGTTTGGCCTGAAACTTCAACTTGATAAAGGGTCTTCAGTTCAGCTATAAATGTGTTTCTTCATACAGGTATCATATTCATATAGGCATCATATTTATGATATTAAAGTATTGGCAAATGTACCTATTTAAATATATAAACAATTTTTACCACCCTGATTAATGTGTTAATCAGCCTAGAAAATGGCAGTGGCATGTTTTTTCTAAATTTTTCAGTCTTTGGGGTTATCTCGGGAATCACTTCCATGAAATAGTTACCTACGTCTCTAGATAGTAAATCTCATTAATTTTCACTGAGTATTACATAACTTTGCTTGTGCTTGTGCTAACATGTTTGCTAATTATAAACTTCCTGATGTGTGATCTTGAGCTCAGCTAACATTTAAGAAAATGACCAGACCAATTGGCATTAATTCTACTTAAATAGCTATAATTCCCCATCAGAGTAACTTTTCCAAGAGCCACTTCCCTGCTTTTGACCCATCTGCCCATTCCATTGTCACTATTTTTAAAGAAGTCTGTCTACTTTCTTTAAAGGTGTGTCTGTTTAACTCATGACTCTATTATCACAACGTTTACAACACAGAGCTGGTTCTTGAAACAAAAAAAGAAAACAAATATTTCTCCAACAATAATGAATGACCTAGAAAGAGAAAAACTTGTATCATATTTTAGATATATTACAGACTCTGACTAAATTTCAAAACTGTATTTTGGTCTTCAAAAAGCAATAGTAGAATTCTTCTCTACTCCTGAAGAAGAATTACTGTTTTCTTATTTGGAAAGGTAGCTGTGTTATTACTCCCAAAGGCCATTGCATGAAGAGAAATTTTAATAGCTTAGTTGACAAATCATTATAAAGATGACACTTCCAAAGTAAAAGAAATAGGCTATGAAAAATAAAAATTAGTTTATAAAATTATTAGTGTACATACATCTATAAAAACATGAAACCTTGGTAAGCTATGAGTGTTGAAAACATTAGTCTACTGAATTAGACTGAATTTCTTAAGGATATCATCAGATTTAAATGAAACATGTATTTTTGTCAGTTAGTTAAAATGAATGCCACACTTTTAGACTTTTTATAAACATTTATGTTAAATCATGAACTTGAACTTTTTAGTCATAAATCTGATGTTTAGTGCCATATAGGCCTAGATATTCAGCCAGGTGCTCAGACTTAAGTAGATTTAGCTACTTTTTATTCTCTTGATTTCATCTCCTTATTACAGTACATATTCCTATACTTCTGCTGTGCAGGAGGCGGTTCCTTTGGCTCCAGGTCGTGACCTTGATTGGGATGAAGAGATGGCGAAAGCCCAGTCACACGACTGTGTTCCTGTTCTTTCAGAACACCCACTGTACATTCTTTACACATCTGGCACAACGGGATTGCCTAAGGTACTCACTTTCTTAGGGATAACTATCTATAGCAGCAGATTTACTTGGCACCAAAAGTGTTTGATCACTGACTGGAAATGTTTGCAGACTGTACTTTGAAGTTTAGACTGGTACTTCCTCTGCTTTTATTTTTTTTCCTGTCCTCAGTCTGGAGTGCAGTGGCATGATCTCACCTGACAGTTACTTTATATCTTAAAGGGATGTTATGCTTAATGCTAAATATAAAAAAAATTACTATTTAACATCAAATATTTTGCTCTCATTTCTTCCAAAATAATCTCGAATGCCAGAAATATACAATTGCTTTAGTAGATGTTTGATTGAATATCAGCTGGTAATAACGTTACATAAAAATATATTTTAAATGAAATATTTTGATTCTTTTAAATTGAGGTATAGGTTTCATGCAGTATAGAATTGATTTTCGATCTAGGGTAATTCAATTCTTTATTATAAATGTGAGTTTGAGAATTGGCCTCAGCAGTTTGAACAGAGGCAGTTTATCCAAAGTATTGAGCTATTTGATTTACAGCATGAAAGACATTCAAGGATTTTTAAACCTGTTTACCATGAAAGGTGTTTTTAAAAGCAAAGCTGAAAACATCAATATTCATAAATATGTCAAATACCAACAATTACTACTTTTGCCTGGTATCTCCAAATAACACTGTTTCTTCATAGACCCTTACAAAGGATAACAGTATCATTTTCCTTACTCATCTTTAATCCTTGGTTTAATATTCATTGAATCATAGAATTTTGGTAGGGGAAGAGATTTTCACAATCATTCTCATCCTTTAGGACAATGGCTTCTGTATTACCATTAGATTTCTGTAGCATCAGTATTCTGAAAAATTCATCTCAATCATTTTTAAATAGTGGTTCTATTAGATTAGATTAGCTTTTTGAAAGGAAATTTAAGATGTTCCATATAAGCTTGGCTTGTGAAAAAGAACACTTTTAGTAGGAGAATATATTCTCTCTGAGGACACAGGTCATTTTTTAGTATATTTTGGTCTACCATTATGCTTTGTACATAGTTGGTGCTCAATAAATCTTTGTTGCGTTCATACATGGATGCATACACATGAAGATACTTGTTTTATTGTAGAATTGGAGCCTTATGATTTTTGTTACAACTCTAGTGACTTGAAAAATATTTCTTCATATCGAAGTCTGGAAGATTTATTTATTAAATCATGCCAAATACTCTGCTGCACACAATTTTCAACCTCCACTTTTTCCAGTTCTGTATTGTACACTAGCCACCTGGAGTTCAACTGAACATTTGGCTATAAAATGAGACTCGGCAAAGTTATGATCTAATATAAAAGTATCAACATGAGAGAAAATTCATGACCCTGAAAACATAGTATAACTTAATTTTTAAAAATTACAGTTTCTTAGAAGCTTGAAGAAATCATAAAAACGTTTGTTCTACCTCAAGACTTTAAGTCACTGAAATTGGCTGTGACCTGGAGTAGAATCTTATGAAAGGGGCAGAAGAAAAGGTTATCACAAATTAAAAGCTGACTTGCCAGTGTAGTAGAAATAAAATAAAAGTAACACACAGAGGATTAGATTGAAAAATGGTTCCAAATATGGAAGAACTATAGCTCCAGTTTTTTTCTGAGAGGTTCTTTGCTGGATTCCTTTCAGTGCCTAAACGGAAGATCCTTTGATATGTCTGTCATCCTCACTTTCCTCCTAATGTACCATCCTGAAGACAATTCATTTCAATAAATTTGAGAGTGTTTGAATTGTGTGGAGATTTTTGTACCCACATTAAATTTGACCCAGTTTAATGTACATGTACATGCATTGAGTGCTCATTCTGTGCTAGAATAGATACAAGTAAGACTAAAGCACAGTCCTTCTAGTCTAGTAGGTATGAACACAGGTAAAGCAAGACAGAATGTGATCTTTTAGTTGGGAAGATAGGTGACTACACACAATGGAGACAAATTAGTTTTCAGGCTGTTTAATTAGTTTGGGACTTTTCATAGGACAGCTCACTTCATAGGGATGAGTCAGATTTTGTTCTAAGTTAGGAGTCTAAGACTTTGAATCTAAGAACATATGAGGGTGCTTTTGAATATTCATTAAATAGAATTGTAGGATGGGTTGAGGCTAGGAAAACTAAAAGTTTCTAACATAACATGGTGTGTCTTCAGGACATTTCACATAAAGATGTCCAGTCAAGAGTAGGAAATGTGAATCTGGGCTCAAGAGTTACACATAAGGGGTTGAAGAAAGACACATGTAGGTCATTGGGTTGCAGGACTGGTGATTAAATCATGTGAGTGAGTGGGCTTTGCAAATTAACACGTATAGAATGGCAAAGGAAGGTAGTTATCTCTCTAGATTCCTCTTCCCTCCAGTGTACTTTAGAATTGAAATTGCTTTAAAGTTTGCATTACCAACAGACCTTTATGGCACTTCTTTTAACCTATATTATACATATTGGTTTTTATTTATTTACTTTTATAACAATGAATATTATCTGAGGTCTTAGAATAGATCTGATCCTTCTTTGGATCCACGGTAGCACTAACTTTAAAATTTGAGCCAGGCAGAGCCTCAGAATATTTGTTGAATGTTCTCTTGCTTCTTTGGTAAGTAAACATCTTGGATGCCTCCTTATTTGTACAATTCTTATTTCATTTTTCATAGGTATATTCAGGATTAATAGACCCTAAAACCTTAATGTTGAAATCCACAGAATATAAGTACAAGAAAAATGAACACACATGCTTTAATGAAGCATTTAGATATAAATATCATGTCATCATGTGATTCTCTGCCTCGATCCCTAATCTTCATGAAGAAAAATAATGTTGTGAGCTCATAAAACTGTTCTGCCTAAAAATGCTTGTTTCTCATAGACAAATATAAAATACACATAAGGCAATCTGTTCTTTGATTAGAATTTGTGTATATGTTTAGGGCATATTTGCATATCAACATTTGCCAACCCTGGATTTGTCAGATTGCTGTATGACAGGTTAATCTGTTAGCTGCTGTAAATATTCCAGCAACCACATCTGAGCTGCTTTGGATACATTTCTGTTTTGTTGTGGGTTTCTATTCTGTTTGGAGTGGGTGCCTCTATTTGAGATAGCTCAAAATACTACATGATAAAAGAATACCTCATCTGGATGAGATGTCCTTTCAGGTATGGGAGATTTAGTGATCATAATATTTATCTGGTTCAGTTTGATATCATAAACGGATAGTAATAACAAAAAAAAAAAAAGGAAAAAAGTTGAGTGTCAAAGGAGAACAGGGGGAAAGAAACCAAAATGAAAAGAAAGCATGATAAGAAAGTGGTAGATAAAGCCGTTTGTCCTGGTGTGCCCTACTTAGGTAATTTATGTAGCTTTCATTTCTGTCTAAGTGACTTAATAATATTTCCTACCCTAGAAAAAACAGTGAAAGTCAAATAAAACACGGTAGTGAACTTTTTTTGTTTAATCTGTGGTATGCCCTTGCAGTTAAAGTGCTGACCTGGTTGCACCTTTGCCCCTTATCTCACAGTTGTTCAGATTGATTAAAAAAAAAAAAAAATTACATAGCTGCCAAAGTATCCTCCACAGACATAGTTTCAGAGTCTTCTGAAAGCCTATAACAAGGTATTTTATGTTTAATGAAATATCCCAAATGGAAACATTTCATGCCTTCTAAGAAGATTCCAGATTTACTAAATTCTACAAGTGTCAAGGATTTCTCCTGAATGAAGAGTATTTGTTAAAATAATTGTATCATTTACACATGTTTATACGCTCAACCGTTAACTCATTTCGATAGTTAACAAATGTATTAAATGCCTATTCTACACTAGAGACTCTGCTGAAGATACAAAGGTGTTGTCCTCACAGGGCTCAAAAGTGGTAGAGAAAGCACAGCACTAGGTGGAGACATCAGTTCTCTGATGAGGTTTCCAGGCATTGGGGGCTGTGAAAGAGCACCAGAGAGACTTTGATACAAACAGTAGGATGGCGGGAAGTTTCCCAGAAGACATGGTACTTCTGCAATGTCTTGAAGTACTCCTGGTGGAGACATTGAAGTTCATCAGGTTCAGAAAAGGGGTGGAGGCTTATTCTAGAAATAGGTGATACCATCTGTCTGACTACTATCAAACCAAGATTTATTGCTGATGCATTAGATTTTTTTAAACAATCAGAGCCATTTCATTTTATTTATCTTATGGCTGCCATTGTTTGGTGATGGGTTTGTTTTCTCAAGTAAAATATTTATTTTCCCACTTTATTTTTTCTTAGCTTGTCAGGCTGAATTGATGCACACACAGATATATCCATACATACACATAAACATATACATATGTACACATACATGTATACATGCATATATTTACATGTGTATGTGAATAGACATTTTACATATGTAAATATGTATACATATATTTGCCTTGTATGATCATTTATTACAAAATAAATGATAGAAGGCCTTAATGTAGGAAATAGGAAGTTTTGTCATGTACTCCAAACTTTTCTGCTCTTAGTATTTTGAGATTTGCCTGTCAGATATTTAAAGACCATTAAAAAAGATGCAATTTTACAATGAATAATCCCAAATTCTTAATTTTACTGCACACGTCAGTCTTCCCTCCTTTTCTACAATACCTCTTATTGCAGTTGTATTTTTCTTTTTCAAGTTGTGGCAGCCAAAACTTCACAGGACATTTATACCAACATGTTTTATATTTACTTCAATGGCCCCATTTATGGGAATCTGTGATTTGACTTGTCTTCAGAAGTAGCTCAGTAAGCTGGCAGTGATAAAGAACTATCTGATAACTTTGTGGTCCCATTTCTGAGTAACTAATATTCAGCCTTTACTTTTACTTGCACTGATTGAATTTTTTAAGCCCCATAAACATTACAATTGTCCCCTCTCCCAAAAGACAGCACCGTCACAGTGTTTCCATTCCTATTTCTGAGATAGGATTTGCTTTTATGTCTTTATTCAGGGCTCAGAGTGCTAGTCCCATCTGGATCTTTTTCAAGTTCTCCAGAAATCTTTAAGAATTTTGACTGATCCTACCAAAAGATCAGAACAGCATATTAGCAGGTTACAGGGTTTTTCTTAGAATGTCTTAGATCATCGAATGACTTTACTTTTAAGGTAGAAAGAATATAAGTACATATAGAAGGTAATAATAGAGATTCAGAAGTCTAAAATGCATCAGGTTTGTGTTTTAGGGGTAAGCACTGGTATCGTGTAGTTTTACCCTATATTCAGATACACTGTAAAAGTGCTATTTTTAGTTTCCAACTAATTTTGCTTACAGTATAATGATTAATATTTGGAGCATAATTTTTGTGTTTTCAGAGGCTGAATGGGGTTTCTCTTTTGCACTTTAATCATCCTTACCTGGAAAATGTGATTATAAACAGGAAACAAAAATGCTTTATCATTTTGTTTTTGTCACAAATTAATGTTTATGCTAAAAGAAATTATTTTGAAATGTAATCTTTGTGATTTTTATACTTTCAAACTCCTTATAAAAGATGAACCTGGAGAACATGAAGCTATGCAGTTCTTTTTCCTACACCATATCAAATACTCAGAAATTTGAAACTGTATTATCCAAGCATTTGCCGAGGCAAGACCAAATTGCAGATCTAGAGTCTAGATTAATAGATGGTAAAAAGAGGGTTGAGTGAAATTTGTATACTAATTCTTTAAAAAGCAAAAGTAAGTGGATATCAAAGACTAATGAAAAACATAAATTACAGTTTTTCTCTCTCTTCCTTCATTTTAATTGTTTTAAACAGAATCTTTGATGGCACCTCTAATTATTTTGACATTTACGCCTTTTGGCTGATAGGAGCACAGGGTAAAATAAAAAGCAATAATTGCTAGAGCTAAGGAAAGAATATTGTTAATGACATATTAAATTTTAGTCTTTACAACTTTAAATGCTTTTTCATGCATGGACTCATTTTTAAGTCTCATTTTTTTGGTCAGGTGGGTTTAAGTATTCACTAATTTACAGACAAAGTGACACTGGTAAACGTTGTTTGAAGAAGTGCTCATCTGAGAGGTAAATAGAAATTTGACAACTTATCCTTTAAATTTATCTTCCAGGTTTTACAACTGAATTATTATGCAGTTTTGTCTTCCTTTACCTTTTATTTCTTGTCATGATTTCTAGTCAATGCTTCTTACCCTCTATACCATATGGTGTAAACATTTACCTAGTTACAATATTTAGAGTTACTGATAAAATGGATTCTAAATGCAGGGGCATGTAGTATGGAGAGAAAATTTTAAGTGAAATTGTTACTGATATTAAGTATCTCCATCTGTCATAACACATGGACAGCATATTGTTTACAAAAAACCTACTTTTTCTAGTCTGTAAAATGAATAGTTTTTATGAAGTGTTTGCAAATTGATTAATATCAGATTCGTCAATCTGTTGAGCCATAGGAAAATATCTTCTCAGTAGAACAAACTAGCAAAGTGCAAGGAAGATAGGATAGAATACAGTGGGAAAGTAACTGTTTTCTTTACATGGGAAAGTGCATGTGTAAAGCCTACTGGCAGGAGGCTTAGGATTTCTAATGTTCCCGTGGAGATCAAGAGTGCCAGCTGCATGTTAAACATGTCATACAACCTAGAAAATAGCTCCTAAATACCAACAAAGCTGCATCTGATATTGGCTAAGAGACCAGGTGTTGTTATTGGTGAATAAAATAATGTTCTGCAGCTTGATACATATGTTTTATTAGTGGCACCCAAGGAGAGCAGCAATTTTGGTAACCAATGGAAAGTTGATTTCTGTTCATTGCCCTGATTTGCTATGTGTATTAAGGTGCAGAACTATGCCAAAAAGTGTAACTAATTGCACAGTTATTGGTTAGATTCATGTTTACTTTTTTATAAAAAGCAATTATCTTTTGCATAGAGCAGTTGTTGTCTAAAACATGCTTCAAAATACATGCGAGTGGAATATATCTTGTATCTTTTAGCAGGTGTTCACCTAATCATTTTGAGTATTCATGTGGTTAACTCTGATTGAGCCAATGATGATTAATATTTTAATGAAACAATAAATGAATGTAATTATTAACTTTACTATTACTGTTCTTATTTATGGTGACATTTATATCCAGTGTTCAAATACAAGTCTTGTATTGAGGTTAAATATATTCCCAGTGTTGGGGAAAGATACTGGAAACTGATTTGTGAAAACTGTACTACAGTAATATAATGATCCATGCTTTTCCCCAAAATGCAATATAAGAATCTTTTAATGTTAGATTCAACTAACTGGAATTCATCCCTAAGAGTTTTAGAATTCATAATTAAATAATTGCTCAGTTTTAAAATATGCTTGCATGATCCCCAGTGAAGCATTTTAATGACATTCCAGTTAGAAATGACTTTGTTTACTCTAAGCAGTCTGTTATTGTTTAATCATCTTAAGAAATACAGGTACTTATGTTAGTCTGTATTTGAGGCATATAACTACATTTTACCTTTCTGTGCACTAATTTTTGTTCTGGAAATACATCTGAAAATGTAGTGTTGATAATGTGTTACCATTAGAAAAGTTTGTATTGCCTATGATATTGTGAAATCACGTTTTCTTTAGAAGACTAATAATGTTATGTGAGAACAAATTCTCACATAATGAGACAAATGGCACTAATGAGGACAAATTATTTTGTGTTGACTATTGAAAGACTCAAAAAAAATGATTCAAAGATAATTTTATAAAAGCCAAAGTAATTTGTAGCTAATATTAAAATACTTTAAATAAGGAACTTTTAAGGTGGATGCTATGAAGATAGTGTTTTCACACATTGTTTATTGATTTTAGCTTCACTTTTTCTCTCCTTAGGGTGTGGTTAGGCCCACTGGGGGATACGCCGTCATGCTAAACTGGTCAATGTCTTCTATATATGGACTTCAACCTGGAGAGGTAATCGTGGTTTTAAATTTACATTACATGACATTTCTCTGAATAAAATATGTGCATTTTATTATTTTATTTTTTAGGTGTGGTGGGCAGCTTCTGACTTAGGCTGGGTTGTTGGACATTCCTATATCTGCTATGGGCCTCTTCTTCATGGAAACACAACAGTCTTATATGAGGTAATACAGTAAAATTAATACCACATATAGATAATATTTATTTTATTAAAACTTTTCATGAAGCAGTCATGAATAGGATCAGAAAAAATTTGAGTGGGGACAGGGGAAGTTATTGTATCTTCTTCCAGCTAAAAATAGAATTCTGAAATAGAAAGGGATATGTAGGAAATATTAGCCAGTTATTTCAATTTTGTTGAACAGTGAGAATTAAATTCCAAAGAACATACAATAACCAGCTTTGTATCTATCCCTTACAGATTTTTAGAAAGTATTGGCAAACTGATACTGATTTTAGAGTCCTAGAAAATAGTAATCATAAAACAAGCAATGTAGATTCCCTTTTTTTGAGTTTTTATAAGATTAATGGATGTCCAAAGTCATGTTGTCTCAATTTTAACAATAATTTCCTTGGTTTCTAATAAAGCTCTCTGTATAAGGCATAGGTATATAGACTGACCAGATTTATAGCTGAATAAATAACTGTTTAAAAACTCAGATCCGTATATCAGTGTCACCTAGGAATACAATTTCTGTGTGTATAGGAAATTTCCTTCATATGCCTATACCATTTAACTTTATCAATGTCTTACATAAATACTTAGAATGCATACCTATCAGATCTGTAGAAGATCAAAATTTTGGAGGGATAACTGATATGGTAGTTTGCTAAATTATTCAAAATGACCTTGGACTTTTGGGACAAATTTAACAAGATAGAAAAAAACATAAATCTTTACAGTCTTATATTTAGATTAAAAAATACAGAAATCAAAAAGGGAAAACTCGGGTTGGTTGCAGTTTATGTAGCTAAATCTCTGGGTATTAAAATGTCCATAACTTAAACATAAGCTGTTGGTAGAACTGCTATTTAAAAAATACTCACCATGTGCAGTGATATAATCTTACTTTCCTCTTCCACATTTGAAAATTTGTATTCAGTTTAACCGAAAGGGAAAAAAAAAATCATGAACTTCCTAGAAAGTATCTTTGAAAGAGGGGAATAGCATAAAAATAATGTATACAAGAAAGTGGTAGGCTGGGCGTGGTGGCTCACGCCTGTAATCCCAGCACTTTGGGATGCCGAGGAGGGTGGACCACTTGAGGTCAGGAGTTTGAGAGCAGCCTGGCCAACATGGTGAAACCCGGTCTCTACTAAAAATACAAAAATTAGCCAGGCATGGTGGTGCATGCCGGTAATCCTAGCTACTCAGGAGGCCGAGGCAGGAGAATCACTTGGATCCAGGAAGCAGAAGTTGCAGTGAGCCAAGCTCATGCCACTGAACTCCAGCCTGGGTGACAGAGTGAGACTCCATCTCAAAAGAAAAAAAATAGGTGAAGGAATTAGGAATGGCTAGTCTGACAAACAAATAATACACTTAATGAGCAAATACTATATTTTGATATTTAAAAAGTTGCTACATATAAAGTATGTAGTCTTGTAATGCAGAGTGACACAGAGTTATATTTTGGGAATAACAGAGACAAATTTAGATGGTTGGCAGTAGAACAAACAGACAACTTCTCAAATATAAGGCGCTCTTTCACATAAGTGTTCTGTCAATACCAGACAAGGATTGTGAAGTAGAGAATTTTATATGTTGGGTGTGGAGAATAGTATTATATGATTTTAAGTTAATTTGCACTCTTAAAATTCTGAAAGTCAATGAATTTGAAAACACAAGAGGCTCTTCTCAATCTTTCCGGAATACTCCAGGCCTCGTCATCACTTAAAGACCATTTGTGTTCTCTCATTTTTAACTGGCTGGTTTTCTGTCTCTGAATGCTAAGAAATATTAAGGTAGACTTTGACATAAGTATTAAAGCATCATATACTACTCTACATCTTTTACATCATGGTTTTATGTCTTGCAGACTTGTATGCATTTTGGAATTCATATTCTATTCTACAACTTTTATATAGTGCTTTTATGTCTTGCAGACTGGATATGCATTTAGGTATTCTTAATAATTAAAACAATCTTGACAAATAATTTCATACCATTTTCTCTGCAATATAATGTTTTTTATTAAAATAATTTCTCTTGAAATAAAATATCAACACTGAATAGTTATATTGAATTGTGGTACTGCTTACACAAATATGACAAAGCCAAAGGCACCAACATATTTATGGTTATAATTTTCAAGCTGTTTTAGAATTGACATACACAAATATTTTGTGCTTTTTACCATGGGCTTTTATTATTTCTCAAGTCTATTTAAAACATGATATTAACACTATGATGGAGGGTTGTTTCTGTGTTGGAATGTTTTGCTCAAGAAGAGTATAGATGCTCTATAAATATTTGTTGTGTGAATAATTGAATGAAATTAGCTACAATTTAAAACCTTTTCTCTGCACTCTGACTTGTTTTCTACAACTTATAAAAGAGGCTTTATAAGTTGTAAATGTCTTTAACTTTCTCTGATCACAAAGCAAAGTCTTTTAGACCTTTGCTCACTTCTAGCTATGCCATCCGTATTTTCTTCTACTCTAAGTCCCTTGAAAAAATATCCTGCCCACATTCCTGAACCTCATATTCTTCAATTACTCCTCATCTCACCATAGTTTGATTTATGTTCACATCAGTTCATAGAAGCTACTGTAGCAGAGGTCACCAGTTTCTTCGTAAGTGACAAAGTCAAAGGGCCTTCTTTAATCTGATTTTATTTTTTCTCTTACTGGAGTTCAGGCCTGCTGACCATTCTCCCTCTTTCTTGAGCTCCATGGTCCTTTGCTAATATTCATGCTGTTTCTTTTACCTGATGTGAGTTCCCTCCTCTCTTTCCTTTCTTGGTTAACTCCTACTCTCTTTGTAGACTCTGCTTAGATGTTATCATCTCTTGAAAGTTTCTTCTCGGGATCTTGGTCTGTGTGTAGTGCCCCTTTCTGTGGTCCTGCTGCTTTCAAGCCTGTCTGTCACTGAGCTGGCCACACTGTACTGAAATGATCTGTTTACATCTAGAAGAGGGGAAGAGGATAAAAGCCAGTTACACAGCATAGTGCATAGCACATACCACACAATTAATAAATACTTGTAGAACTGAATTAAACTCTACTCCTCATTTTCTTCCATCGATCCTGACAGCTTGTTCTTCTTTTCTTCTGTTTCTTTCACTTTGGTCCTAAACATTAGAGTTTAGCTGGATCATAGTCTTAGCTCCATTATCTTATTCTGCTTATGTTTCCTGGATGATCTCCAAGTAGTTATATTTGAGGATCGTTTATTAAATCATGGCTCCTAAATCTCCTGTTTACATCTGACTTTCCTGCTGAGCGCTAACTTATTGTTAGACATCTCTGATTAGTCTGTACACATCTTATGCTCAACATGAAATAAACTGAGTTCTGTATCTTTACCCTACCCTGCAAACCATGTTTTCTTCAGTGCACTCTGTTTCTGTTAATGCTACCTTCATTCATGCAGTAATCCAAACTGAGAATCTGCAAGTGATTCTTGAGTTCATTTTTCTTAACTCTCACACTCCACTGGTCTTTATATTTTGTTGAATCTACTTATTTAGTACTTATCAAAAGTGTCCTCTCTTTTCCATGCATCTTGACATGTATTCAAGGCATATTATATGAAGCTGAATATGATACTCATATTCACAATTATGAATACACAAGCTCATACACAAATATGTTGACTGATGTCCATTTTACATTTTGGCTTCTCTTTTGATTTGTGCCTATACATTTCAGTTACATATTTTAGGTTATCATTAGATACACTCCTCTCCTAATATTGATAAAGCAACAGACAGAAAATCAGCAAAGATGTAGAAAAACTTGACATCATCAACCAACAAGATTTAATTGACATAGAATACTATTCTCGACAGCATCAGAATATGCATTCTTTTTAAATGCCCACAGAATAATTACCAAGATAAACGAAAACCTGGGCCACAGAACAAACTTCAACTAATTTAAAAATATTTGAGTATTTGAACTCACGTGAAGTCTATTTTAAGACCACAATATTTTCAAACTAAAAATTAATTATACTTATCAGGAAAGTCTCCAAACAGTTGAAATCTAATCAATATACTTCTAAATAAATAATCCATAGGTCAAATAGGAAAATCCAGGAAAACACACACAAACACACACACACACACACACACACACACCCCTCTGTGTATATATCTTAAACTGATTGAAAAAGAAAGTAGATCATATACAATTTTGGGGGACACAGCTAAAGTAGTGCTGAGAGTGAAATTTATAGCACTAAATGGATACATTAGAAAAGAGAAAAACTCTCAAATCAATAATATAAGCTCCTATATCAAGAACCTAGGATAAGAGGTGCAAAATATACCTAAAACCAGGAAGGAATAATAAAGATAAGAGCAGAAATCAGTATCATTGAAAACATAAAAACAGAGAAAATCAGCGAAACACAGAGCTAGTTCTTTGAAAAGATACATAAAAATGGACAAACATCTACAAGACTGACCAAAAAAAAAAAAAAAAAAGACAGAAGTCACAAATTACCAATACCGCACATGAAACAGGAGATATCATTAAAGACCCTGCAGCCATAAAAAGGATAATAAGGGAATACTATGAGAAACTCAACACATATAAATTTGACAACATAGATAAAGATGCAATGGACTAATTCCTCAAAAACCATAAACAAATAAGAAATAAATTACTCGAATAGCCTTATTACTATTAAGAAAATCCAATACGTAATTAAGTAGACTCCCAATAAGAAATCTCCAGACACAGATGTTTTACTGGAAAGTTCTACCAACGTTTAAAATAGAAGAGGAGTCGGGGTAGTTGGTATTTCTGTATTCCATGTGCCATCTACCAATGTTTAAAGGAGAATGAACACCATTTCTGCACAATCTCTTTCAGAAAATAGAAGCGGGGGGAACACTTTCCTATTCATTTAAGGAAGCTCCTATTGCCCTAATAACAAGTCAAATACAGAAAAAATAGTACTATAAGTGAATGTCCTTCATAAACACATAGATACAAG